ACAGGAGTTGAAGGTAGGGTTTTGTAACTTGTATAGTGAAAGAGCATGAGCTTTGGAGTCAAGTATACTTAGCTTTAATTCCAACTCTGATAATAGCTGTGTGCTTGTGTGTAAGTTACTTTACCTCTCTAAGCCTCTAATTCCTTATCTGTAAAAATGGTGGTCATACCATTTTACTGGACTATTTTGAAGATTGTCATAGATTGTGTATGCAAATTAACCTCTGCATTGTCTGGTGTATTATAGACACTCAGTAAATTGTATCCAGTGCCTCATTTTCACCTTCTTTTCCCAACATGTAGAACACGGGATGCATGTACATTTCTGCATTTAGTTTTAAAATTTCACAGGTAGAGGATGAGTGAGAGCTGTCTTGTCAGCACTTGTTGTCAAAGGGATCATGGATAATTTTTGGACTTTATATTTTAAAAAATGCAAGGTACTTTTAGGCTAGATTATTAGAAATACAGTGCTCATGTTTCTCCGTATAAAACCTTTTACTATTTGAAAGTGTGTTGTGTTCAGTTCTGAGCACATCCTGAGAGACAAGATAATAAAGCCATCAAGAGCCAGATCCTGGAAACTGAATCAGGTTCGAGGTCAGGCTCTGCTACTTTGAAGACTCTGTGCCTTGAATAAACAACTCAATCTCTTCATCTGTAAAAAGAGGGATAATATTGGCACCTACCTCATAGTGTTCTTTTCAGAAATAAATGAATTATTATGGTTAAACCACTTAAATTAATGCCTGGCCGATAGTAAGCTCTATGTGAATGTTAGTTGCTTCTGAGGGGACTTCAGAGGAAAGCAAGAAGTATGGAGGCTGCTTGGAAGTATGACATGGAAGAAACAGTCGAAGAAATTGGAGGTGTTTAACCTGAGGAAGAAAGAATTGTTGAGAGTCCTTCATCATTTAAAGGGAAATCTTATGGAAGAGGGAATAGACTTATTTTGTGTTACTATAGCTGGAACTAGGATCAATGGGTAGAAATTATAATGAGGCTGATTTTATTTTAATGAAAGGCTTTATAATAAGTAGAGCTGTTCAAAATTGCAATGAATTGCTTGGTGAGCCAGTGAGTTTGCATCTTACAGAGGATTAGAAGGCTGAAGAGAGGTTCCTGACCTGGCTGGTGGGGCGAGCTCGATGACAAGTGTTCCCTTCTACCCTGCTGTCAGTTCAGGGCAAGTGACCGGTTTAAATTAAGGTAATCCCACACTGAAATTTGCTGGGATTTGATAGCATGCCTGAGTACTTTCTGCCTAGAATTAGTCTACTGTTTTATGCTTTTATGACCTATCATTTATTCATTTTGCAAATATTTATTGTCTGTCTGAGACAGTGTATTTCTGGTCTCATTTTGCAGAGAAGAAAACAGCTTGAAAATGAATCTCTATTTACTGCTTGCTATCGCTTGGCACCATGGTATCTTTCAATCCTTGAAGGAATTCAATGACTTAGGTGTCATTATTGTTGGGAGACAACTTTCCTTGGGCCTATTGTGTTTCTAAAGTTCTTATGAGGAAAGCACTAAGTGCCCTTTGTTTTAGACTAGCTCATCAGGGATGTTTGTTTAGCAAATAGCCTTGGAAGATAGAGATAGTCACTCCTTTCAGAGCAAAAGCAGAAGCCCAACATAAAAATTCAGTTTTGTAAGCTCAGGATTCTTCTCCAGTAACTGCCTGTGTGGGCAGGCATCTGTTTGGGCCCATCTGCCTGACCCCCATGGGACTTGGTGGCAAGGGGAACTGGTGCAAATATGCCGATGCTCACTGATGCTTGCTCTGCTATGAGCAATAAAGTCCTTAGTCTCTGACCTAGAAGTTTGCTATCTTCCACCAGCACCCATGAAACCGTGACAGACTAACTTGTCAGCTTGCAAGTAGGATAAAATCTCAGACTTTACAATTCTTGATATTAAGGAAGAGTAAAGTGAGGATTAGGGAGGTTAGATCTAATGCCCAGAGTCAAATGATCTAATATTTTGGGGTGGTGGGATTTGAACCTTTGTCTCCAGAGGATGCTCTTTTTATTACATTATGGAAAAATGCTACTGCCTTTGCTGCTGCTACTAGTACTGCTATCACTAAAACAATAATAGCTAACAGCAACCACCACCATTTGTTGAGTGCTAATGATATACCAGGCCTTGTTTTATCTCATTTAATTCTCATGTACAACTGTATAAGGAAGATATCTTACTATCTTCATTTTATAGATGAGCAAAATGAGATGCCATTGCCAAGGTCATAGGGGTAGTAAATATGGTAGAGCCAGGATTCTAACCCAGGCAGTTTGACTCTGCCTAGAGAGACCACAACCCTATGGTGGTTAGAAGCAGAATCTGAAAACAGATCAACCTGAGTTTTAAGTCCCTGTGCTATCCCTGACCCTCATTGTGTGAGGTGGGGCAAATTAATTTTACCTCTTCAAATCTCAGCTGCTTCATCTGTAAAAAAGGGCGAGGAGGATAATCAAAGGACCTGCTCCAAAGAGCTATTGTGAGGATTAAATACACATTCTATAAAATGTGCCACACAGCTGATTCCTGGCAGCTAGTAAGCCTCTCTAAATGTTAGGGGCTATTATTATTTTTATTATCTTTGCTGCCTTCCTTTTCTCTAATTAAAAAAATACTTTAATGATTGTGTACTTGCAGAGTTCTAGAATGTATTTTTGACTAAAGACAAAATGTTATTCATCCCTGTTTACATCAAGAGAATGAATTTCAAACGTGGGGCAAACCTGGCACAGGCTATTTCTTGTATAAATATTGTCTTGAAAAAGGAAAATAGGAGTGAAAACCCCCTATAGACCCAATTTACTCTCTAATCTTCATTTTAGTAACCCTTTCTATTTCTTAAATAACTCCTAATGATTCAGTAATGTATTAACAGTGACAGCTGATGCCAGAGAAGGTGTCCTCTCTGGGCCTGACATTTTCCTTAATGGTAATTCTAGCTAGTTAGGTTAAACAATGTGAAATGTTTGGCATGTTTCCTTCCACAAACGGTAGTGTAGAGGAAAATCATGAAAAGCGTTGTAAAGATGGCAGCCTGATCTAGTATAGCTTTGACAATTCTGTGATTGCTGTTACAATGAGAAATAATAGAGTTAAATATCTAGGCACTCTTACCTTTGGGACAGTTGACAAATTGAAGGCATTTTCTCATTGTGCTTTACTTTAGATTAACAGCCTGGAGGGTTTCAGATTTAAAGAGCAAAGTTGTGTATCATAGAAACAACAGGAAGACGTATGAAACTCCTCTGTACCTAAATATTGCAAGTAATCTTGGTAGCTCTATTGTTGAAGCTAATTTTCTCCTAAATTCTCCACTCTGATTTCCTTTAAGAGCCAAACACTTGTGCGGTATTCTCTACCTGAAAGTAACCTGGTTTAGGATAACCTGTTTACAGATGAGGAGATAGGATCTGGCATGGTGAAGGCCTTAATTCAAGTCTTGTGTTCCCAGTAATGTTGCTTCCCTGAGTATTCCACACTGTCCTTAGTGGCTTTTGCCTTTTCCTTTACTGCCTTCCTTCTTTCCTTTCTCTCTGCCACTCTCCCTCCCCTTCATGCTATACCTGGTCTCTTGGCATCCTTCACACATTTACAAAATTCTTCTTGGAGGTTAGATTGATGTCAAAGACTGGCCTTCTGAATTTCCTTCTAAATTGAAAAAGAAGTTTTATATATTGTGTGGCTCATGAACTAAGATCTTTTGCTCTAAATGACAACTGGGAGAAGACTGTCGTACAGTATTTTGCTTGCAAATATCTAGAAATGGATATGTGATTGATTTGCTGACAGACCTTCTCTGAAAGCAGTTCTAATGATGGACTTATAATTGATTGCATCCATCACTGAGAGCCTAAAATATCCCCCTCCCTAAATTAAAAAAGATAAATGAAATATAAACTAGGCTGAAGGTATACGCTGACAAATCTGAGGGAATTTAATGAAACTCTAAATTACCGCAGCCAACAGATAGGAGGAAAAGGTTTCTTTGTTACTGATTAAAATACTAAATTAAAAAAATTATCCCAGAAAGATAATAGAGGAAACAAAGATCTGTGGTCCATGTATCAAACTAAGTTATTGAAAGATTTTTAATAAGTGTATCTGTCTCATTCCCTGGCTATTGTTGATTCATATCAGTCTTGTTAGTGCTGTTTGAAGACTAGTAAACACAGAGACTGTCTTGTAGTATAGCTTAGAATATTGCTGTTGTAACAGATTTTAGATTTAATATGACCTTATTTCCAGGCTGCTGGGGCTTTGTACCAAATTCAGGTCATTCAAGTGGGCTTTTTGGAAGGTGGTTCCTCATGTATGAATAATTTTATCAGTTAGTATGCTTTGGCTACATATAAAAGAAAGCCAACTGAAAGTGATTTAAACAAGGGCTATTTGTTACCTCCCTTAACAAGTCCTGGGATAAGGCAGCTGCAGGGCTGGCTGCTTCAGGGGCCCAGTAACGTAATAGCAGTCGCTATTTCTCTTGGCTGTTCCTTCCATGGTTGTAAGATTGCTGAAGTGCTAGAGTGTCTCAGCTTTTGTATAGTGATACCTAAGGTTGGGAAAAGGAAACTTTTTTGTTATTCTTCTTGCAAGAAAATTACTTCTAGAACTTCCTTAGGTCTCACTGGCTAGACTTGTCACTGTTAGGGGAATGGAATTATTAGGAATTACTAAGATTCACTCATATCAAGAGCTTCTGAGCTTCTTGAGAAGTTCATGCCCTCCTGCTATCTGACTAAAATCGGCTCTGATGCCAAGGAAACAAGTGAAGGGAACGGCTCCTTGGACAGGCAACCAACAAGTCACGTAGATGGCCTATTGGGATTTACGATGAAGGTGCTTTTGTGTTTTCTGTTAGTAACTGATTTCAGTTCCTAGTTAATAAGACGAATGTGCTGCCATATTGACCAAGTCACTTTTCTTTTGCTTTTTCCTTTTAAGTTTTACTCAGCTTGATATATTCTCTGTCTCTCCCAGGACTCTGTCTACCAGCGATGACGTCGAAGACAGAGAAAATGAGAAGGGTCGCCTCGAGGAAGCCTATGAGAAATGTGACCGTGACCTCGATGAATTGATTGTGCAGCACTACACGGAATTGACCACAGCCATTCGCACATACCAGAGCATCACGGAGCGCATCACCAACTCCCGAAATAAAATAAAGCAGGTATGCCTCCTTTCTTCTTGTCTGGTGATTGCAGCACCTTCCTTCGGTACAGGTGTTGGGGCTGGGAGGGGAGCCATGGTAGTGGCTAATGGTCCTCAATGAGTGATTCATGATGACACTTTTCAGGAGTTTTGCAGGTGTCTGGAAAGCCAGGTGGAGGAAGGTCACAGAGGGCAGCAACCCGGGCTCACAACTTCCCTCCCCTGTGTCTTACCCTTGGCTTCTGCCATTTCTTCTCACTGCAGTGAGAAATGACACAAGGAAGGTGCCTCAACTTGAGGAAGGCTGAAAGGCATCCAAACCCAAGAGGAGAGTATGTCACCTAAATTGAAGTTGGTTGTGATTTCTCTACACTCATTGTGCATTCTTGGTATTTTTTACAAAGTGAAGAAAATCTAAGCTACAAATTATTTTGACATATAATAAAATTTTTATGAAAACCAGAATTTGTGAATATTATGCCTTCGTTGGGATAAGTATGTATTCATTTTTATTTTGTAATTTTCTTTTCATGGTTTAGAGCTCTTTCTTTTCTATCTCTTCTATACTTTTTCTCCCACATTTCCAGCCCTTTTATTCTTCCTTTGCCCCTGTCTATATCCTTCCTTCCTCCATCGTTCCCTACCCCTCCTCTCTCCCTCCTTCCCTCTCTCCCTCCTTCCCTTCCTTTTATGGTAGGTCCTTGGAAAAACTCTTGATTCCTGGGTACCATGCCTTTAGTACCTAAAGGATAAAGTGTGGGTATTTTCTTTTCTTTTTTTTTTTTTGAGACAGGGTCTTGCTCTGTTGCCCAGGGCTAGAGAGCAGTGGTGTCAACCTAGCTCACGGCAACCTCAAACTCCTGGGCTCAAGTGATCCTCCTGCCTCACCCTTGCAAGTAGCTGGGACTACAGCCAGGTGCTACCACACTTGGGTAATTTTTCTATTTTTTTGGAGAGGCAGGGTCTTGCTCTTGCCCAGGCTGGTCTTGAACTCTTGGCCTCAAGCAGTCCTCCCACCTCAGCCTTCCAGAGTGCTGGGATCAAGTGTGTTAATAGGGGGCATTTTTATATTCGGCCAAGGGATGAACTGATCAAATAAAGGTCATGTAGTCACATCATGTCATAGTTACGTGGTTCTTGGCTGTATTTTGGTTATCACTCCTCTAATACCTTTTAGTACTTCTCTTTGATAGACAAAAATAATTGTTACCACTTTTGAACACTGGTTCTTTGCAAGGTGTGATTATGTCTACTCCTTTCTCAATAAATTTAGAATTTGAATTCTGGTCTCCCTAACTCTAAAACCTTTGCTGCTCGTTTTCAGGCATTTTTTAAAGCAGCAGAAACCTTTTTTTAAAATGTGATATTTTGTAGAACTCCAACATACCAAATAGTAAGAGAGGTGATGTGCTCCTCTTATTTGGTGCTGGGTTGAACGATCCAGAGCATTATGCTTGGTCCCCTCCTTAGCACTTGGTGGCTGCCCCTCAAGCACCTCTGTGGGACTGCAGGCTGCACAGACCGCAGTTTGAAATTCACTGCCCTGTGCCATGAGATTGGCAGCCTATACCTGCCCAGTAACAGCTGTGCTTATGGCATTCTCACATGTTTTATTTCCTGTCCTCTAGACCTTAAATTACGATTTTGTGAGCAGATAAATAAATTATGCTTCTAGGAATACTGTTGATATATGAGTTTCAGCCTCTAAGAGTCTAGTTTCAGAATCAGTAAGCTCTTAAGCTCTTTTGAAGCAATGTGCTGACCTCTTTACATTTTAAAATTAGCTGGACATTTTCGAAAGGAATACTGTAATTCTTAGCCTTTCCAAGTGCTGAGTTCATCCTGTAGATTTATCTGTGAAACTAGGTAAAGCTACAGATCAGCTGCTCTAGATTTAAAGGAAACTGTAGTCCACTTTGACCCAATATACTACGCTCAAGAGGGGTCAGGTAATGAATGTCCAGAGCTGCTGACCTTCTGGCTTTGCCTCGGGTAATCACAGCAAGGGCGAAGGACCTTGTGATATTTGTGTTTTCTGATTAGTTTGGTTGACTGAAAGGACTTTGTCTCAATCTCAAGGGAAGCACCAGGAGTGATTTCTGCTCTGCTCCCTGTCACTCTGAGTCGATAGCATCTTTGCTGCAAACAAAGAGTGCTCGCCTGGTATTGAAAAAGAGAGCCTCGTCTTGATCATTTCACGTTTGTTTTAGTAGCCACGTTTCTTACCATCCTCATTTTTAGCATGCTGGAGTTTTGCGGCAAAAGAAAACAACAAGAAAGAAAACTTTGTGTTTATTATATCAGACAGTTGTCAAAAAAGTAAATGTCACATAATTCAGTGTTATGAATTAGCTTCAATGTTGGGAGGAGAAATAAAGGGCTAACACTCTTTTCAAAAAAACCTTTAATAATTGATTAATGGGAGAAGAAAAATGTTGGGGAAAATGAAAGCGAATTTGTTTTTATTGTATAATTTGACAATTTCATACCATGAAAGTCCATTTGTTATCACCAAGGAAACACTGATGTTTCCTCACCGATCTTTCCCTGTCATTTTTGGTTTTTAATTGTACTTTGGATGATATACAAAATATAGGTATATATTTTTTTAAGTGTAAATGTGGATGACTCAATAATCACTGGGCTACATTATTTCATAGCCAAGCAAGATGTTGAGAGTGTGTAGATCTGAGTTGAAATTTTCTTTCCGTTCTCTGCCAAAAAGAATATAATGAGGATTCATGCAAGAAATATTTGTTGAGTGCCAGCTACATTTCTGGTTCTGTTTTAGGTGCTGGAGCTGTGCAAGTGGAAAACAAAAGTCCCTGTCCTCATGGAGCTTATGTGCGAATGGGAGGAGGGAGAAAAACTAACAAATAGATAACATTTAACAACATTTATTTAGCCTCTATATATTGGATGTCTGATTTGTGTGTGCTAAGCATTGTTGTAGGCTCTGGGGTATAGAAGTGAAGAAACACAAACATTTCTGTCCTTGTGGAGTTTACATTCTAGTTTACATTCTAATCGGGGGAGACAGACTATAAATGAATTAATATGTAAAAGTATGGTATAACAGATAGTAAGAAGTGCTATGCCAAAAAAAAAAAAAAAACCCACAACAAACAAAAAAATAAGGAAGGGAGACTAGGGAGTTGCTGTTTTAGCTGGGTTGGTCAGGGAAGGCTTCACTGAGGTCCCATTTGAGCCAACACCTAAAGGAGGTGAGGGAGAGCATCAGGAAGTACATTCTAGCAACAACGGATGCAGGTGCAAAGATCCTGAGGCAGGGCCATGGTTGGAAGTTTGGGAAAGCAGCAAGGAGGCCAGTGAGGCTGGAACACAGTGAGAGGTGGAGAGAGTGACAGGAGAGAGATGAGAAAACTGGGCTGTGCAGTGTGGTAGGGGGGCCAGATCACCTAGGAGTATGATGGAAAACCATTGTAAGGTTCTGAGCACAGGAATGACATGCTGTGACATTTTAAAATTCTCACTCTAGCTGCTGTGCTGGGAATAGATTTTAGTGGGCACCAAGGCAGATGAAGATTTTCATATTCATGCCTTACCACCTTTTAAAGCTTGAGACCACAGAACAGTTTACACTTCCTATTTTTTGACATTACTTTCATATATCGATTTATGTTATATTGGTAGGATCTATGTTCTTGAGGATAAATGTGAGCTGACAGATGGATTTGACTCTCTTCCCAGATGGTCCAAACTTTTTTACATTGGTCAAGTCCTTTTGGAATTTTTTCTAGATTAAAAAAAATTGCAAATAAAATACCATGTATGATTGATGAGGTCAAGTAATATGGATGATAGAACTACTTAGGCAATTCTTTTACTTTTGAATACATTGTAAAATTGGTCAAAATGAGATGTTATTGCATTAGAATCCATGGGTTCTGCCAGTGTCTTCTTAATAATGATTGTTATAGCAGCAGCACCAAAATAGGTGAATGAATTGATATAATTTGAGGTCTTGGGCCATTTAGGTGGTGTTCGAATTTGAGTTTTTCCGTTGTGTACTAGGTGGATGAGACGATTTCTTTAAATAAAAATGATAAGTAGTCAGTCTACTGCTTATCACAGGAGTGGAGTAAGCTGAAGGGAGAACGTGGACACTTCGCTCTGTTGCACAAACACTTAACATTTCACCCCAATTTTGGCTGTCCTTTTGGTACTAGATCAAGCTCTGAAACTCATTTTTCTTGCCCGTAATTAGAAATAACTATCTGCACATGATGATGCAAGTGAAGTTGTTAGGGCTTAATCATTGAGTAATGAAACCTTCATTACTTAACATGTACCTAAAATAAATTTTTGGCTTTTAAATGAAATATACCTTGGAAGGTAGAATTAGAACAAAGAATAGCCTTAATTAATATAAAAAAAATGTCCTGGTAGAACAACACGGTTTGGTAGGAAGTTATTTACAGCCCAAATAAATATAAGATAGAAAATTCTAGCTGCTTGTTTGAGAAAGGGAAAAAGGCCTTCAGGTTTCTAGCAGTTGATACGCTGCAGCAAAACAGTGGGCAATAATGAGATAGTGTAATTTAAAATCTGTGCAGTAGTCTGGAGTGCATTAATGCAGTCACAAGGACCATGAGGTAATCTTTCCAGTAAGGTCAACTGTGTCTGCATTTGTGTACCGTATCCAGACTCCGCAGCTCAAAGGGAAGGTATTGGAAGGTGTTGAGGGGAGCTCTCAGAATTTCTGACCTTAGAATGGCAGCTAAAAAAACTAAGGGAAAAAAGGCATGGGAAATAAAAGTTTGAGGGTAATTTAAAAATGATCTACGGTTCTGAAAGGCTTTTAAATGTAACAGCAAGTAGCGTTTCTGA